AGTTATTACAATAAATTATCTTTAAATTATTAGAAATAATAATTGGTACCGAAAAATAAACAATGAGAAATTATAGTTATTAACAATTTAATGTTACTATTTATTTAATTTGTATGACAAAACGTTAATAGATTTATATAATGTTTATCAAACCTAGATTTTTATATACCATCATTGATACCGCTTATATCGATGTTTTTGCTGATAATGATAATGTTAACACAGACGTCTATATATTTACTAGACTGCTAACTTTTTATGTATAAGACATCTACGATTTTATGTACAAATTTATGCAAGGTATCTTTTTTGGCGCATGTGCTTTGATGGCGCACGATTGCATATCATGTATCAGTACATTTATGAATATAAATAAACATAAATGTATATGTACACATGTATATTACACATTTATTATCTATATTATCATGATTACATCGGTGCATGCGCAGAAAAGATCATATTAGTACCTAAAATGCGAGAACATTTTATACAAGCAAAATTTAGGAAATTAGCAGTCTAGTAATATATAGACATCTGTGGTTGTTAGAGAATTATACTAAATTAGCAATAATTTTCAAAGATACGCGCTACGATGACAAAACTGAGTATAAAAGAATATAATGTAAAAAAAATGTTATATACTAAATCAAATGCAGCAAATTGCCTGGCATAATCGTAATGGCTAATCTTTTATAAACATATATATCAATTATTTTTAACATCTGCCAAATTCGTCAATAAGACATATACCTAAAACGAAGATTTAAATGATGTGTTTGTCAAAAAATTATTGTATTATATACCAATTACAATTTTATTATAATTAAACTGTAATTTGTACATAAAGTCAATAAAACTTTTAGAGAATATTCTTTTTTATAGCCCTTAATTTTACATTATGCACACTTTGATTTTTATTTTCTACTATAATCTAACTTATAGATTAACTTTAAAAAAATACGAAACATTTTTATTTTTTATTTAATTTTTCATATATACTAATTCGAATAGTAAAATCTTCCGTACATTAAGACTATATACTTTGCATTTTACTGCGAAAGAATGATTAAAAGCAATTATTAAATCATTAAAATTATCGGAATCGTGATAGAATATTAAACATGATCTCATATTCGAATATTTTTAGTTATATAATATTTTTATTCACTTGATCTCTATTTTTGCAACTTGTAAAATGGATTTGTAAAGATTTGTAAATTGTAAAACGAATAAAATCTATTTTATTATCTAATAGAACGAAAATAATCGAATATAAAAGATTTACACGATCGGTTAATAATATACATGTGTATGTATCACGTATATGTGTGTACACATATGCATAAATATACTTATGTGTATACATAACATATGCATAAATATACTTATTTGCATGAATACTTATGAATATACTTATGAATACATAATATATGCATGAATATATTTATGTGAATACATAATTATATTTTTTTTCAGAATACTTTCTCTTTTGTATTTTCTTCAAATACTTCTAATTTTTTCCAACTCTTCCTGACGTTCCTTCTCCTTTGGCTTTTCCGAAAGAACTCCGATCTTCTGTTGAATCATTTGAAGAAGAGGATTGCTCTAGGAAGGTGTTCAAATCCGGTGCTTTGTTTAAATCGATGTAGTTACTTGGCTTCTCATCTAATTCCCGCATGTGTGTCAAGTACTCTTCTTCTACTTTTTCTTCGGTGCTTTCAGTATTTTCTATGTGTCCAGAATTTGCAGCACTTACAGTATTTTCCTGATGCTCCTGTTTATCTCTGTCCGTTTCTCTGGAATTTTGTGATTTTGATATTTCTTCAGCAGTATTTTCCTCTGTTATATCAGCTGGTATTAAATGAAAATCTGATTCGAAAAGTTTCCTCATTAATGTTTTTATATGTGCGGACGTGATATTGGTCCATGGCTTGCAAGTTCCTTCAATCAAATTCCCTATGTCACGAGATGTGCAAAAATGTGGAAACTCATTATAAAACTGAAGCTGGATTTCATTCCTAATTTTCTGATGCAGTGGTTGAAAAACTGTGATTGGTATAAATTGTATCTCAAAGCTATTATCTTGTACGATCTCTTTTAGGTTAAAGGACCTTTCGGTCTCCCTAAGGAGTAAAAGTACTTTACCTTTTATATTTGTTTTCTCTTGATGTTTTCTTACAGATTTTGTAAAGTAATTATTGTACCAATAGACAAAATTGTCTTCAGTCTCCAATTTACTACTTTGTAACTTAGAAAGGAAAGGAGATCCAATATTTTTCAAATAATTTCTAGCTTCTTCATGATTATATTTATAAGTACAAAAGGGTAATAATTTGTGGTTACCTGTAGCATTTGTACAAAACATAAAAGTTAAACATAAAAGACTATCATCTTTTAATATTTCTATATTTGTTTCAATTTTTTTAATCTGTTCCTTCTTTTTGTCTATTGTCCATGTAAATAATATATCGATCATGGTATAAACATTACTTTCAAAAATATCTTCCTCTTCCAATTCCTGAGTGAATTTTTTAACTCTCCCTCGATTAAATAAAGTGGCTTCCTCTGGCATAAAGTTTTGCGAATACTCAGCCATGTTTTGAGATTTTACCGGACTTTCGTAACGCTTCGTAAATTTCTGCAATCACATTTTTACCTTATTTACCATTTTTACCTTATGTGTTAATAATCTATCAAATTTATATACAATATATTTTATTTATAAACATCGCGAAAATGGTGTCTGCCACATTCTTCCGCGCTAGCAATCAATTATGCAGTTTTTTAACAAAAAATTTCATTACTTACTCTAGAATCGCACTTTTTCTTTACTGGGTTTGTTTTTTGTTTCGCTAATTTATTTTGTCTACTTTACGTTTAACAATTATAGCAGTATTCAAACTTTATAATCAGTGGCAATTTGGGTCATTGAAATATTTTTTCTTAATTTTGACAAAACGTTGTCGCGGTGCGAAAGCTCGATAATATATTTGTGCACTATACACTTAGCTGACTTTATAAAGTTTATTTAAAATTTTCACGCAAAACTCCGAGCGTTACTGACTTTAGAGAAATCCTCACGCGATATGAATATCCAAACAATGGTATTCTTGAGAATAATTTTGAAAACGACCGCAGATAAAAACATTATTTAACGGTTGTATGTCAAATCATGACAATTTTTTCATTTAATGTTTTATTATTTCTGATGTTTACTGTTTACACACGGTAACATTACTTCCTATGTCTTATAATAAGATAATAAAATTAACTGTAGATAAGGGAATTATAGAAAAATTGTATTCTTTCGAATCTTTTTGTTTAATTATCGCGATACAAACACGTGAGACAAGAAAAATATTTTCGGTATAATATATAGCAAATATAATAGTTTTAATAATAAATTTTATTTTTCATGCTCGCGGAAATAACCGCAACTACTGTAGTGCTTATTTGCAGTCATTCTTTTCCAACGTTATACGGTTATTTAATTTTCCAAAGCGTAATTGCTTTCGCTCATCGGTCGTCTCGTTGCCAATACGCGATCACACGAGCCGATACGAGTGCTCGGACTTGCACAGAACACAACGCGTCATTATTCACGATTATACAGATGCGGAGGCCAGAATATTCCGCTAATTTTTATATACCATCATTGATATCACTTGTATCGATGTTTTTACTGATAATGATATTGTTAGCACAGACGTCTATATATTTACTAGACTGCTAACTTTTTATGTATAAGACATCTACGATTTTATGTACAAATTTATGCAAAATATCTTTTTTGGCGCATGTGCTTTGATGGCGCACGATTGCATATCATGTATCAGTACATTTATGAATATAAATAAACATAAATGTATATGTACACATGTATGTTACACATTTATTACCTATATTATCATGATTACATCGGTGCATGCGCAGAAAAGATCATATTATTACATAAAATGCGAGAACATTTTATACAAGCAAAATTTAGGAAATTAGCAGTCCAGTAATATATAGACATCTGTGGTTGTTAGAGAATTATACTAAATTAGCAATAATTTTCAAAGATACGCGCTACGATGATAAAACCGAGTATAAAAGAATATAATGTAAAAAAAAAATGTTATATACTAAATCAAATGCAGCAAATTGTCTGGCATAATCGTAATGCCTGGCTAATCTTTTATAAACATATATATCAATTATTTTTAACATCTGCCAAATTCGTCAATAAGACATATACCTAAAGCAAAGATTTAAATGACTTGTTTGTCAAAAAATTATTGTATTATATACCAATTACAATTTTATTATAATTAAACTGTAATTTGTACATAAAGTCAATAAAACTTTTAGAGAATATTCTTTTTTATAGCCAATAATTTTACATTATGCACACTTTGATTTTTATTTTCCACAATAATCTAACTTATAGATTAACTTTAAAAAAATACGCAACATTTTTATTTTTTATTTAATTTTTCATATATACTAATTCGAATAGTAAAATCTTCCGTACCTTAAGACTATATACTTTGCTTTTTACTGCGAAAGAATGATTAAAAGCAATTATTAAATCATTAAAATTATCGGAATCGTGATAGAATATTGAACATGATCTCATATTCGAATATTTTTAGTTATATAATATTTTTATTCACTTGATCTCTGTTTTTTGCAATTTGTAAAGTAGATTTTTGAAGATTTGTAAATTGTAAAACGAACAAAATCTATTTTATTATATAATAGAAGGAAAATAATCGAATATAAAAGGTTTACACGATCGGTTAATAATATACATGTGTATGTATCACGTATATGTACACATATGCATAAATATACTTACTACTGTGTATACAAAATATGCATGAATATACTTATGCATGAATACTTATGAATATACTTATGAATACATAATATATGCATGAATATATTTATGTGAATACATAATTATATTTTTTTTTCAGAATACTTTCTCTTTTGTATTTTCTTCAATACTTCTAATTTTTACCAACTCTTCTTGACGTTCCTTCTCCTTTGGCTTTTCCGAAAGAACTCCGATCTTCTGTTGAATCATTTGAAGAAGAGGATTGTCCTAGGATGGACTTCAAATCCGGTACTTTGTCTAAATCGATGTAGTTACTTGACTTCTCATATAATTCCCGCATGTGTGTCAAGTACTCTTCTTCTACTTTTTCTTCGGTGCTTTCAGTATTTTCTATGCGTCCAGAATTTTCAGCACTTACAGTATTTTCTTGATGCTCCTGTTTATCTCTTTCGGTTTCTCTGGAACTTTGTGGTTTTGATATTTCTTCAGCAATATCTTTCTCTGTTATATTATCTTCTTTTGTTCGAAAATCTGATTCAAAAAGTTTCTTCCATAATGTTTGTATTTGTTCAGACGTGAGATCGGCCCACGGCTTGCAAGTTCCTTCAATAAAATTCCCTATGTCACCAGATTGGCAAAAATGTAGAAATTGAGTATCATACTTATGCCTGATTTTTTCCCTAAATGCCTGATCCAGTGGTTGAAAAGTTGCGACTATAGGTAGTGGTATATATAGTATCTTAAAGCTGTTATCTTTTATATCTTCTGGGATAATAAACCGTTCGTACTGCGAAAGGAGTAAAAGTACTTTACCTTTTACCTTTTGATAGCCTCTTACAGATTTTGTAAAGTAATTTCTGTACCAATGGACGAAATTTTTATTAGCTTCTTCAGCCTTTAGCATCTTAAACTTCTTTTCTCCATATTCATTTCTTTTTTTAGTGTCCAATTTAATCCTTTCTAACTGAAGGAAAGGAGATTCACTATTTTTCAAATATTTTAAAACTCCTTCATCGTTATATGTATAAGTACAAAAGGGTAATAATTTGTGGCAACCTGTAGCATTTGTACACAACATAATAGTTAGACTGTCATCTTTCAATATTTTCATATTTGTATTAATGTTTTTATTGTTTTCCATGTCTTTGGGTAAACGGATTTTCCATGCAAAATTCATATCGATCATGCTATAAATATTATCTTCAATAATATTTTCCTCTTTCAATAGCTCAGTGAATTCTTCAATAAAATATTTCTTTTTGAATAAAATATTTTCCTTTTGCGGACCCTCAGCCATGTTTTGAGACTTTACCAGACTTTCGTAACGCTTCTCTGCAATCACATTATTACTTTATTTACCATTTTTGACTTATGTGTTAGAGATCTATCAAATTTATTTATAATGTATTTTATTTATAAGCATAACGAAAATTGTGTCTGCTACATTTTTCCGCGCTAGCAATCAATTATGCAGTTTTTTACCAAAAAATTTCATTACTTACCCTTAGAATCGCACTTTTTCTTCGCTGGATTTGTTTCTTGTTTCGCTGATTTATTTTATCTATCTTACGTTTAACAATTATAGCAGTATTCAAACTTTATAATCAGTGGCAATTTGGGTCACTGAAATACTTTTTCTTAATTTTTGCAAAACTTTAAAACGTTGTCGCGGTGCGAAAGCTCGATAATATATTTGTGCACTATGCACTTAGCTGACTTTATAAAGTTTATTTAAAATTTTCACGCAAAACTCCGAGCGTTACTGACTTTAGAGAAATCCTCGCGCGATATGAATATCCAAACAATGATATTCTTGAGAATAATTTTGAAAACAACCGCGGATAAAAACATTATTTAACGGTTGTATGTCAAATCATGACAATTTTCTCATTTAATGTTTTATTATTTCTGATGTTTACTGTTTACACACGGTGACATTACTTCCTACGTCTTATAATAAGATAATAAAGTTAACTGTAGATTTAGGGAATTATAGAAAAATCGTATTCTTTCGAATCTTTTTCTTTAATTACCGTGATACAAACACGTGAGATGAGAAAAATATTTTCGGTATAATATGTCGCGGACATAATATTTTCAATAATAAGTTTTTCATGCTCGCGGAAACAACCGCAAATATTGTAGTGCTTATTTGCAGTCGTTCTTTTCCAACGTGATTCGGTTATTCAATTTTCCAAAGCGTAATTGCTTTCGCTCATCGATCGTCTCGTTGCCGCGATCACACGAGCCGATACGAGTGCTCGGACTTGCAGAACACAACGCGTCATTATTCACGATTACACAGACGCGGGAGCCAGAATATTCCGCTAATTTTTATATATCATCATTGATATCGTTTGTATCAATGTATTTTGCTCATGACGATGTTGAAGTTATATTAAACTAGCAATAATGTTTAAGAATAAGCTACGATCACAGAATTGAGTGTAAAGGAATATAATGTAAAGTATGTTATATACTAAATTATATATACATTATGCAGCAAATTAGATAGTATAATGCCTGGCTAACATCTTTTATATAGATGTATGTCAATTATTTTTAATATGTCTGCTAAATTCGTCAATAAGAATTAAATCTAAAGCAACGATTTAAATCACTTGTTTGTCAAACAATTATTATATTATATAGAAATTAGAATTCTTCTATTATAATTAAATGGTAATTAAAGTCAATGAAACTTTTAGAGAATGTTCTTTTTTATAGCCCTTAATTTTATTCACATTTTTATTTTTATATTTTTTACAATAATCTAACTTACAAGTTAACTGTAAAAAAATACGCAACATTTTTATTTTTTATTTAATTTCTCGTATATTCTAATTCGAATATTAAAATCTTCTGCACATTAAAACTATATACTTTGCATTTTACTGCAAAAAAAATAATTAAAAGCAATTGTTAAATCATTAAAATTATCGGAATCGTGATAGAATATTGAACATGATCTCATATTCGTATAATTTTTAGTTATATAATATTTGTATTCACTTGATCTCTGTTTTTGCAATTTGTAAATTGTAAAACAAATAAAATCAATTTTATTATATAAAGCAACAAAAATAATTGAATATAAAAGACTTACACGATCGGTCAATATTAATGCATGAATATACTTATGTGAATACATAACATATGCATGAATATACTTATGTGAATACATAATTATATTTTTTTTAGAATACTTTCTCTTTTGTATTTTCTTCAATACTTCTAATTTTTTCCAACTTTTCCTGACGTTCCTTTGGCTTTTCCGAAAGAACTCCGATCTTCTGTTGAATCATCTGAAGAAGAGGATTGCCCTAGTAAGGAGTTCAAATCCGGTACTTTGTTTAAATCGATGTAATTACTTGGCTTCTCATCTAATTCCCGCATGTGTGTCAAGTAATCTTCTTCTACTTTTTCTTCGGTGCTTTCAGTATTTTCTATGCGTCCAGAATTTTCAGCACTTACAGTATTTTCTTGATGCTCCTGTTTATCTCTTTCGGTTTCTCTGGAACTTTGTGGTTTTGATATTTCTTCAGCAATATCTTTCTCTGTTATATTATCTTCTTTTGTTTGAAAATCTGATTCAAAAAGCCTCTTCCATAATTTTTGTATATCTACAGGCGTGAGATTGGCCCACGGCTTGTGAATTTCTATAATGAAATCCTCTATGTCACCAGATACGCAAAAATATGGAAAGCAATAACGATATTTATCCCGGATATTATTCCTAAGTACCTGATCCAGTGGTTGAAAAGTTGTGATTGTACGTGATGGTATATATAGTATCTCAACGCTGTTATCTTTTATCTCTTCTGGGATAACGAACCGTTCGTTCTGCGAAAGAAGTAAAAGTACTTTACCTCTTACCTTTTGATAGTCTCTTACAGATTTTGTAAAACAATTATCGTACCAATCGACGAAATTGTCATTAGCTTCTTTAGTCTTCAACTTCCTTACTTCATATCCACTTCTTTTTTTAGTGTCCAATCCAGTCCTTTCTAACTTATGAAGGAAAGGAGATTCAATATTTTTCAAATATTTTAAAGCTCCTTTATCGTTATATGTATAAGTACAAAAGGGTAATAATTTGTGGCAACCTGTAGCATTTGTACAAAACATAATAGTTAGACTGTCATCTTTCAATTTTTTCATATTTGTATCAATATTTTTATTCCTTTTCATCTCATCGAGTAAACGGAATTTCCATGTAAATTTTATATCGATCATGCTATAAATATTATCTTCAATAATATTTTCCTCTTCCAATAGCTGAGTGAATTTTTGAAAAAAATATTGCTTTCTGAGTAAAATTTCTTCCTTTCGCAAGTTTTGCGAACTCTCAGTCATGTTTTGAGACTTTACCAGACTTTCGTAACGCTTCTCTGCAATCACATTATTACTTTATTTACCATTTTTGACTTATGTGTTAGAGATCTATCAAATTTATTTATGATGTTTTATTTATAAGCATCGCGGAAATTGTGTCTGCCACATTTTTCCTCGCTAACAATCAATTATGCAATTTTTTATCAAAAAATTTCATACTTACCCCTAGAAACGCACTTTTTCTTCGCTGGATTTGTTTCTTGTTTCGCTGATTTATTTCATCTACTTTACGTTTATCAATTATAACAGTAGTCAAACTTTATAGTCAGTGGCAATTTGAGTCACTGAAATACTTTTTCTTAATTTTTGCAAAACTTCAAAACGTTGTCGCGGTGCGAAAACTCGATAATATATTTGTGCATTATGCACTTAGCTGACTTTATAAAGTTTATTTAAAATTTTCACGCAAACTACTGACTTTAGAGAAATCCTCGCGCGATATGAATATAGAAACATTACTCTTGAGAATAATTTTGAAAACGACCGTAGATAAAAACATTATTATTTAACGATTACATATCAAATCATAACAGTTTTCTTTTTCAATGTTTTCTCATTTGTATCGTTTGCAGTGTTTATACACAATGACATTACTGCCTATGACTCACAATAAGAAAATAAAGTTAACTGTAGATAAGGGAATTATGGAAAAATCGTATTCTTTCGAATCTTTTTGTTTAATTACCGTGATACAATCACGTGAGGTAAGAAAAATATTTTCGGTATAATATATCGCGGATATAATATTTTCAATAATAAATTTTATTTTTCATGCTCGCGGAAACAATCGCAAATATTGTAGTGCTTATTTGCAGTCGTTCTTTTCCAACGTGATTCGGTTATTCAATTTTCCAAAGCGTAATTGGTTCTCGTAATCGCTCACCGGTCGTCTCGTTGCCGATACGCGATCACACGAGCCGATACGAGTGCTCGGACTTGCATAGAACACAACGCGTCATTACTCACGATTATACAGACGTGCGAGCCAGAATATTCCGCTAACGCCGCGTGGCTCATCGATCTAACGAAGGCGCCCGAGAAATCATTGTTTCCATAATGAATCGCGTCAGAGCTCACATCGCATCATACGTCATACATTCGTCTGTATAACATAATCACCGTCGAATCGGGCGGTAGCATTAATAACACTGAGCACGAGAACGATTGTCTCTATAGTTGTCGAGAGCGTCGAAGGGGCCCTAATTTATTATTTCTCGTACAGAATTCACGTAACTACCAGGTACTCGTGTACGAGCTCCCATGAAGAATATAGTGTTTATCATTAATGCCAATTTTTTATAATCTGCATTCTTTCTTTCCCTCTTCGCATCTCCTCGAACCGAACGGTCCCAATTGATGGCGTAAGAATATTTATAATAAATTATTATAAATTCGTGGTTTATAATAACACAACGCGACATGTTTATGCAATCAATTGTTCAAAAATGCACTATAATTTATTCCTCGTCAATCATTCCGTAGACTGTGCTATAAAGTATTACGCTGACATCGCGCGATTTTCCTTCGGAAAGGATTAATTGGAGCGTAATAAGCATTCTATCTACCTTTTAGGAATTTGCATCTTAGAGCACAGATATCCTCTCATTTAACGGACTTTCCCCACACGATCTATGATATAATCCGGTCGGTGCTCTGCTGTTCTTTACCGTATTTTCACGCTCACCACTTTCGTGCAACCTGCTCCGACCAACTTTCGCTCTGACATTGACAGATGGGATTAAGTATCGTCCGTAACTAGCGGATCATTAATGCAAAGAGGCAAATCGCTCCTATTCCGCGCTTTGGCGGTACGCGAACGGTGATCTACAAGATGCGGTTCGCGAGCAACGCACCGGCGTCAGGAGCCATTAATGAGCGGCATTGTACGCACGCATGTATCACGCCGCTGTCTTCATATTTCAGCGGCTCGCGCGCGTTAAAAGCGCGTGTATTAAACGCGCCGCGTGGGTGCGACGCGATATTAATAGGACACGTTCGATAGGTAGCCCGACTGAGAAGCGATTTAAGCATTCCACGGTAACTACCAAGTAGGTGCACTGAGGGAAAAATTTTGTTAAATCAAATGAATTTGTTTTCTCGAAACGTTTGCTTTAAATGTAAGGAATTGTTTATTTCATTTAAGCAAAAGCATTTAATTTTAATTAAATATCCATGTTATATTGAGTACATTATTTTCATTTATATATTTTTTATATTTAAATACTATTTTCGTAAAATATATTTTACTATAATTTATTAAATTAAATATATTACTTTTAAAAATTTTAAAATTTAAAATTTTTGGGAATAACAAATGCATTTTGATAAATATTTTGTAAAATTAAAATAAAAATACTTAAGCAAACAGACGTTTTGAA